GCCTGTGGATGAAGGTTGGATTACTTGAATTGAAACAATTCATCAAATCCGCATTTTAGCCTACTTGCGAGTAACAAACTTCAAACCATTTCCAAACAAACGGATATGCAATGTTTTGTTCCAAATTAGGCGATCTAGTCTATACTTGTGTGTTGTGCGCATCACATGGTAATTCTAACTAATTAATCGGAATAAGAACGCATGTGTTTTCAAAAACAAGATATCATGCTTAGTATAGGCCGATCATTGATCGGGCAAGCAGGGGTGCTCATAGATGACCTTCCCCTCTTGTACCCAAGTTCTCGAGCCGAGGCAACTTTGGTGATGACGGACACGTGGCCTTTGGCATGAGTCAGGGTTTCTTAAATTCTCTCAAAATAAAATATTTAGGTGGCGACTTTGTATCTGGCAAAGCAGTCCATGTTTGGCACTTCTTTACAAAAATCAATTTTCCAAAACAATTTGTCGGATTTGGACTCTTTGGTGATTTATCAATCTCACATCACACATTGTGAGATCAGATTAAGAACCATGACATTGAGTCCGAACTGTAGCATGAAGCCCAAGGGCGCATCTACACAAAGTCACTACCTAAATATTTTGAAAAATTTAGGAAACCCATGACTCGTGCCAAAGGCCACGTGTCCGTCATCACCAAGATTGTCTCGGCTCGGGAACTTAGGTACGAGAGGGGAAGGTCATGAATTGAGCACTCCCACTCGCCCGATCAAAGATCGGCCTCTACTAATCGTTATATGAATCTTATTTAAATTATATGCTCTTGTTCCAATTTATTAGGCTAGCATTACTATGTGATGAACACACACACAAGTATAGACTAACTTGCAAAAATTGGAACACTAGATTCTGTGAACACACACACAAGTATAGACTAACTTGTTTATATATATAACACAGACACTGAGAATATATATATATAACACAGATCCTGAGAATAGATGGAGAGCTCATGCATGAATGCGGTTTCCCCCTGAAAAAAACATTGTTTCTGCTGCTGAATGCCTCTGTTGCATAGTATAACACAAGCACTGATTTCCAACTCCAGACCAACTCTGTTCTGCTTCAAGAGAACATTGCTTGATTTTGCATTGGTGGTCGGCAGAGGGCCTACCGTCCACTGATGATGGCATGTCGACCACTGATGATAGAACTTCCCTGCTACAATAAAGAGCAAATAGGGCAGAGATAGTGTATTCTCAAGGGCTTGTTTGCACAATTTACCCCTCTTCATTTGAACAACTCAAATGAGTAATAAGTTTGATTTCACAAACCACCAATAGATATAATTTCATTGCATGATGGCTTATGAAACCAAGTGTGCAAGTTCAATAAATGCAACAAAATAAGACTCTCAAAACCACCTCCCTTTCACGAAGGATCAAGGGAAGTAGTTGACAATGAATCTTGAACCGTTTTCATCACTAATAAGTATGAAACAACTCAAGACTCAAGGGTTCAATTAACGTCCGATTGAACCCAATCATGTTATTATCTTGCACCTTTTTTTAGCCTCAATTTTATTACTTTATTTTATTTACCATCCATTTTTTAATCAATTGAGTCCAAAGGGTGAATTTAAGTCTTCTAATGGAAAGAGGGCTCAAATCAAGAGTTGCTTTAGGCATGAAAGAGATATCATACCATTGGTGATGAACCCCCAAAGGGATTAAGCCATTAAGCATGACATCTTAATCTCATGCTTAAACAAACAAGTAGTTTGAAGCCACTTTCAAAGCAAAACAAAAGCCAAGAAATGAAGGAGGTTGCAAAGATGATTAAGAGTGATCACAAGTACGGAAAGCCATAAATAAATGCAATAAACTCATATAAGATGGTGTCTAAAGCCTAAAACACCAAACTAATGAGGACAATTACACTATAAGCATGCCAAACAAAGCTCAAATGTAATAAACACTTAGAAACAGTCCTAAAATAGTCTAAAAACAGTCCTAAAACATGCTGAAATTAAGCCAAAAATACCTAGATTAATAAGCTAAAACATGGATCATGATAGACTAGTAGGCAAAACACAAAGAGGGGAGGCTAACCCCTCCAATTTTGGAGTTCAAACCATGATTTTAGCCACTGAAATAACTCTAAAAATCAGTGTTTAAAAGCTCAAAGAAAGATAGTGCAAATGTGAGAAACACAAGGGTAAAGGCCTTGAGAGCAAGGTGTAAAGAAGGGTGAACCATCCCTCAACCTTTATTGGCCTTAAAACCAAAGTTTCAGCCTAAAAATACAGAGTTTTTACAGTCCAAAAATAGTTAGAAAATAGCAAGAAAAAGAGTGATTACAACAAGTAAAGAAGCAAAGCTTTATACCTCTTGAAGAGAAGAATCAGTGTCAAGCAATAACACAAGACCAACACACCTTCAAGATCTCAAACAAGGCTCAAAGATACCTTAACTCAAAGATGGAGAGTTTTGGTTAAGAGTGTATAGGCTATGGTTAAGAAATTTGCAAGAGAGAGAGAGAGAATTGTAGAGAGAGAGCAAAAAATTTTGCTTCAAAATTTTTCTAACCCCATGGCAAGAAGGGAGGCTCTCTATATATAGAAAATATGAATTTCCCTCAAGAACATCCAACCATACATGTGGGAGCAGATGCATGCACTTACGCAAACAACTGGCACAACTGTCACAAAATATCTACAAAACACACTGGTCGCTGGCCGGCCATCACTGGTGGCCGACAGATCACATTTGTGGCCGACAACCAGAAGTGATGGCTAGCAGCCCATACAAGTGGTCGGCAGGCTACCAGAGGTTGCAAGCTTGAAGATCCACGGTTTGGGTCCAAAAACAAGGCAACAGGGGTATAGGATTTGAAAGGCTCAAAGTTGTGGCATTCCGCTGAGAACTTCGAGCACTTGACAAGCATATAAACTCATCATTGGTATGCAAGCGATGGCATCCAAGTCGTAAGGGTGATCAAAAAATGAGGTGTCTACAGTTGCCCCACCTTGACAGAACTCGGAGTCATGAAATGACGTGAGTGAATGTCAAAGTCTGAAGACGACCTATTTTGACAAGGCCGTAAGACTTAGACAAACAATTAAGACAGAAATAAATAGTTGCACCTATAGGCTGTCTATGTATCCCATTGCGAGGAATCAAACCAGTGCAGTTTTGGGGCAAGATGCAAATGATATGCATGAAGGAAACTTTGAAGCTGGACTCACACGCTTCATGAAGCTGGCTGTTTTGAAAACTCATGCTCATGCAAGATGGCACAATAAGCAAGACAGATGCAATAAGCAAGATAACAAGATAATAACATATGAATGAGCAGCTTTAAGCTTAAAACCAACACAACTTCTATGCAAAAAGATCTAAAACACACTCTGACCACGCCAAAACACGAGACAATGATAGAAAACACCGCTCAGGGTTGCGTTTCACACATCCTAAGAAACTAAGAAATGAAAACCGCCTGGGTTCCCGTTTCACGTGTCCCGAGATAAAACATGCCCAGCGCCGCGCTTCACACATCTTGAGAAATAGAGGAACAAAAACTGCTCAGGGTGGCGTTTTACGTGTCTTGAGAGATAAGAAACACCGCTCGGGCTCGCGCTTCACGCGTCTCAAGATAGAACACGTCCAGGGCTACGCTTCACGTATCCTCAGAAACAAAGGAACGAAAACTGCTCGGGGTCGCGTTTCACACATCCCGAGATAAAAGCCACTCAAGGTCGCGTTTCACACATCTTGAGAGACAAGAAACACCGCTCGGGCTCGTGCTTCACACGTCCCAAGATAGAACACACCCAGGGCCGCGCTTCACGCATCCTGAGATAAAAGAGAAACCGCTCGGGCGGCCCAGAGCCGCGCTTCACGCATCTTAAGATAAAAGAAAAATCGCTCGGACTCGCGCTTCACGCGTCCCAAGATAAAACATGCCCAGAGCTACGTTCACGCATCCTGAGATAAAAGAGAAATCGCTCGGGCTCGCGCTTCACACGTCTTGAGATAAAACAGAGAGGTGTGCGATAAATGCACAAAATGAACATGTGCGATAGATGCACAAAGTAAACATAACGATACAATGATAACGCATATTCCATGCAAGATGGTCAACCGATGCATAACATTAATTGAAGGCATATTCTATGCAAGAGCATGTTCTATGCATGAAATAAGAGCATATTCTCTGCATGACTAACAATGTGTTCTACGCACGAATCATAAATGATGCAAGACACGCATGCAACATATATATATATATATATATGTGAAATGCATATTCTATGCAATAAAAAAGAATGAAAGCAGTAATTTGACAAAATGAATTAAATGATATTTTATTGGACCTTCCGATTTACCTCTTGGAGGAATTACAACTTGTTCAAAAGGATACACCTCGTTCATAGTAGCAAGTGGGACATGTTCGCACCGGAACACAGCTGCAAGCTCCCAAAACCAAACCTTTCACACATTACTCAGAAAGTAGAAGAACAGGACAGCCCCAGGACCCACCTGAGAGTCACCGGCTACCAGGAGAAGCTGTCGGCCACCTGCCGGCCATCAAGACACCTTGCCGGCCACCAATGTGGCATGCCGACCCCCCATGGCAGATTCGGGGCAATTTGGTCCTTTTGCTCCGGGTCTTTAAGTACAAGCCTCAAGGCTTCATTTCCTCACTTCTCCAAGGCTGAAATTGCTCTCCCTCTCTCTCTAGACACTTTCTCTCTCTAGATCCGTACTTTATACTGTTTTCCAACGCCCCACGCACACTTTTTTCGCAAAACCCTCTTGATTCTCAACATTTTAAACCGATTAGATTTTGATTTCGACGTTTTTTCTCTGATTTTCACCACTTTAGGCTTGTTCCCCTCAAGTCTCTCTTGAGTTTTGTGATCTTTACTGGGCTTTGACTTTTTCTCTCATTTTCTCTCTCCTAGGGTTGACTTTTTCTAAGTTTACCCTCTTTTTCTTCATTTTTCTTCACCTTTCACCTACTTTTCACCCATTTTCCAGGTGGCAGATGATATTCCACACGATGAAGCTCCTGCAGAGGTTCCACCTGCATTTACACCTGTTGTCGAGGTAGAGAAGATGAAAGTTGCTGAGGCTAACGAGGTGGCTTAGGGCATTGAGGCTGACCTTGAGGTAGAGATTGAGCCCGAGTTTGAGCCAAAACCGCTACCATTGACAGTGCGACCTTTTGATCTGACGAGATATCATCCCTGAATGCACATCTTACCGTCCGGAGGCATTCGGCGTTTCAGCGACTTTGCTCACGGTGTACCAAAGGACCTCCTGATGAGCAAATCGGCCTCCCACCTTTCATCGAGCGCTACTGAGGTATGAATTCTGTTTTCATGCATTCATGCCTTTCCTTTTAACTGCATTTGTTGCACTACTTTTCATCTGACTGTACTTTTTCATCACTGCCTGATTCACTCTTTTCTCTGCCACAAGGAGAGTCCCATGCCTATAGGGGGTACAGAGTGATGACAACGAGGGATTGGTATGATGAGCTCCCTGCTAGAGTCCGTGACATTATCGATGAGATTGGCTTTGACCTTTTCTGCTCTGGCCTGACACGTGTCATTGTGAGCCATCCTCTTCTAGGAGCACTAATGGAGAGGTGGTGGGACACCATAAACTCCTTCCACTTGTCCATTGCCGAGGAGATAACAATGACTCCTTACGACTTTGCCATGATCATAGGCTTAGGAGTAGGTGGTGATCCAATCCCTTTTGACACCGACATGGGGGAGTGAAAAGCTGTTTGGATCGAGCTATTGGGAGCGTGCCCACCTCTGTACCGACCAGCCATGGTGAGGTACAATTGGTTTGCTGTGCAATTCCGAGGGAGCGAGCCCGAGATGCTAGAGGAGATGGAGCAGTATGCCCGGGGCTTCCTGATGTTTGTCCTTGGTACCACCTTGTTTTTCGAACAAGTGGAACATCGTGGGCTTATATCTGTTGAGCGCCCTAGTGACCCTTCCCTGGGTACACTTCTACGACTGGGACAGAGCTGGCCTCGTCACCCTGTATGGCTATATGAGCTCTACCTCCCGCTTGAAGGGAGAGCGGATCGGAGGCTACTAGCGAGCTTGAGAGGTATGCATTTCAGTTTTTTCTTCATACTTTATACTTTCTACTTCACATTTTTTTGCTTTATATATGTTCAATACTTGTGCTTTCTGCTTTGCACTTTCTATATCTATTCATGCTATGTACTTTATGCTTTGCACTTTCTATATCTGTTCATGCTATGTACTTTATGCTTTGCACTTTCTATATCTGTTCATGCTATGTACTTTATGCTTTGCACTTTCTATATCTGTTCATGCTATGTACTTTATGCTTTGCACTTTCTATATCTGTTCATGCTATGTACTTTATGCTTTGCACTTTCTATATCTGTTCATGCTATGTACTTTATGCTTTACACTTTCTATATCAGTTCATATTGTGTTGACCACATATCACTGCGCTTTCCTTGCAACTATGGATTTATGCATATTTTCCAGCCCTTACTCCAGAGCCCATGGAGGAGCTTCCCCAGATGGTTCCCTACTCGAGGCGGTATGATGGCCGGTGTCAGCACTGGAGTCGCGAGTCCTTTGATTTTTTCTGCCATTACTTTGACACTATGGCCGCCCACGAGGTAACCTGAAACACAGTCATTTTTGCTTTACAACTGTTCTGATTCACACTTTAACAACTGACGGCAACTAACAATCTATACATTTCCTGTTTACAGATTGCGTGGCAGTCTTGGGCCATGATGCCGGCTAGGGTGCGGGACTAATACGCGGGACCGTGGGGCACGTCGCGCTTTCAGATTCTGTTGGAGGGTCCAGTCTGCTGAGCTTGGTTTTTGAGCGAGAGATTCGTTCGCCAGACCATGGGCTTGCTGGATTCGGTCATTCCGATGCCACTTCCGGAGTCTATGAAGTCAACGAATAGCCTATCCATTGACGCAGTTACACAGTTTATGGTGGGCTTGGATGCTGATTTCTTCATAGACGAGGGCGACTACATGACCTTTATCCAGACCTACCTTATGCCACCTCTGATAGGCACTCACGGAGGCGAGGGGGCAGGGGCTCCTGTAGTAAGCGTGGCAACTCGGGCGACTAGGGCCCATGCTAGAGGGGCTCCCCCTGTTGAGCAGGCTATTCGTTGGCCACAGCTTCCTACTACGCTCACATACTGGAGGGCTACTGGGACTGCTTATCAGATCCTGATTGAGTCGATAAAGGCTGGACACGAGCTTGTCGGAGTTCGAGGTTCATCGTAGGTTTGGACTACACTTTACCATTTGTACCCCACATTTCATTTCAGATATGTTTATTCCAGACATTGATAATCTAAATACATTTGCAGGCATCTATAGAGTACACGGGGAGCTGTCTCGAGCTAGTGGCTTCCCTGATGGGTATGGTGTAAAAGAGGGAGACGCTGCTTGGTCTCCACGGTATCCAGGTACTTTTCTTCAATTTGCGCTTCATGCTATCATATTTTTACTGATACACTAGCCTTTCAACTGTAATCTTTCCCAAATTGCACTGATACACTACACTCACACATTGCGTTCATACTATATCTGATACACACACTATAGCTGATATGTTGACAACTCCTTTTTCAGATTCCATCTGTACCGATGGCACCAGCGGCAACAGTAGCAGCACTGGAAGTACCTCCTCCAATAGCAAGGAGGAGAGAGAGACAGGACCTAGCCCACGGCCGAGATGCGATTCACAGTCAGGGCAAAGATAGGGGTGCTCGAGGCCATATCAGTCCTTCAGAGCCCATTTTGCATGATGATGATGCTAAGACCAGTGACTTTGAAGAGGTAGTGAATCAGCATTCTGAGTCGTCTGAGAGTGGAGATAATGATACTAGGTCGGGGGTCGAGAGTGGAGGTGATGCTAGGGCGGGCTCTAAGGCAAAGAGCGGAGATGATACCAGGGCGGGCTCTGAGGTAAAGAGTGGAAATAAACCAGCGAGGACTCTGGGGCAGAGAGCGAAGACGATACCAGCTCTGGTTCAGAGTCTGATTTCGACAACGGTGCCGATAGAGATAGTGCCCCAAGTCCTCCCCTCTGAGGAAGAGGACGAAGAGGGCCTCTCAGGCCTGAGGTGATTGGCGTTGATTTTTTTGCACTTTTGTTTAGTTTCTTTTCATTTAGTAGCATTAGCACATGTATAGCTTCATATAGGTTTATTTTCTTTTGAAACTTGTACTCCTCTTTTGCAAAAAACATGATCAGAATAAAACCTCGTAATTTTATGAAAAGTGTTGTTATTTTTGCATCATGACCACCATATTTGCATGAAATGGACATGAAATTGAATTTGCAAACGAAAACTAAACACTTGTATTGGCACGACATTTTTAATTGGGTAATGAGCCAATCAACAACCAAAATACAAAATAGAACTTGATAAACAAATAAAAAAACAACTCAAATACAAATAAACAAACTTGCTAAAACCAAAAAGATTCAAAACAAGACCTGAAAACACAAAGATCCAGACAAAACCCAAGCTTCCAGCACTGCCTAGCACATAGGGAGATAGCAGGCCAGAAAAAAAGGCTGCCACCGGCCAGAGATGGAGGTTGCCAACCAAAGAGGTGGTAGCCTACCGACCACCAGTGTGAGGAACCTCCAGATTGTTGACAGCTGGCTCCCACTCAGCCTTATCTTCTATAAAAGGTTCAGCTTCATGATTTCTTCTTTAGAACTTCATTTCAGCTGCAATTTCTTCCACAAATGGAGCCATTTTTTTCCAAAAAGCTCTCGGATTGGATAGGGACTTTAGACGGCACAAAAAAGGTAAATTTTTAGGGTTTTGACATAAATGCACTTTTTTCGTTAAGCGATACTCCACTTTTTTTTCCGTTCCTCCACGCCGTGGCTCGATGTTGGGGCCCAATTACACACGTCTTTCACTTCTGGGGACAAGAAATATGCCGGGGAACCGCTCGAGTGGATACTCAGAGAGTGTTTCGGGTTTTTCACAATTTTTTGGGCAGAAAAACATTCAAGTGAATTTTGGATCCCGCTCGAGCGGATTTTGGTAGATTTTTCTAAACCGTTCTCTAGAGCAAACTGCTCGTGTAGATTTCAACGCATTTGTCTTGAATTTCGTGCTCTTTTCCTCAAAATTGATGCCAAAAATGTGTATATACAGATTTTTCACTCCCCTCTCTCTGTCTCTCTCTCTTTATACTAATTTTTTCTCTCCATTCTCTCTACAAACACACCCAAATCCAACTTCTCTCTAAGATTTACCTCAAATCTTCAAGAGTTTAAGGGGGTTTTTTACACCAAATTGAAGAGGTCGGAGAGGGCTATGTTTATAGCCGATTGGATTGAGTTTTCGTCAGCCTTGAGTTCTAGGATTTTCTTTCTCTTCATTTCCCAAGCTTAAGGTAGGCATAATCTTTGAGTTATTTATATGTTTTTACAAGTTCATGCATGTTTTGGGTATTTCATTATGTTTGGATCATGATTTTGGGTTGTTAAACCCTAGACGATTGTATGAGTGAAGCTTCTCTAATTTTCTCAAAACTTTTGAGAATATGAGTTATGCTCTAATATGTAGGTGTTGTTTTGGAAAAATCTTTTCAAAAATGGAATAAAAACCTTGTTTTGGTGGAAATCCTAGTATAGCGATTCTAGTTTAGACCCGACTCATTTTGTATTTCGGACTCAGGTTTCATAGCCTCGTATAATTGTTCTTGTCTTTTCCCTCTCATCCTTCCTTAAATTTGGTTTTGGGATTGTATTGGTCTTGTTTGGAACAAGTTAGTTGCTTGATTTTTCGAATCTTTGTTGCCTAGATTTTTGCTCCTCCACTCGAACGGGCTTTACAAACTCTTAGTATTCTTGCAGACCTCCAAAATATTAGAAGAGTGTATTCTACGTTCGAGTAGCGTTTCCTACGCTCGAGCGGCCATTCTTGAGCTCGAGTGACCTCCTTCATCTGCAAAACTTCTAAAAGTGCGTATTCGGCGCTCGAGTGTCACTTCTTGTGCTCGAGCGGAACAATGTGTCTGGCGCTTGAGCATCAATTCTTGTGCTCGAACGGACTGCATAAATATCAATTCATGAAGGCGACTT